GAGTAGATTAGTGACAGGGCTAGTGTACCATTTGTGTCTGCTGCTGTAGTATGGATAATATTTTTTTCTAATGTTAATATGCTCATATATTCTTTTCCAGTAGATTTTTCCCAAAAGCAACATCTCCAATTCTGTCAGGCCAAGAAAGAAAAGTGAATTCTGATATAATAAAATGAATTGGGTCAAATGCTGATCTTTCAGGAATGGTAATAGTAGTAATCTAAAGCATTCATCACATGGTGTTTAACTGCCTTGCCACACCTCTAGTTTTGGTGCAATACAAAGAAGCTGAAGCACTGTATTTCCTTAACAATTTGTATGCAGGTCATTAAATGTACCTGTCTGTTAGCTTCTGAGCTGGGCACAGATATAAATATTAAATTAGCATTTCTCTTCCTTCTGTTCCATTTTACAAAGAAATTATTTAAAAAGCTGGTTAAAAACACTACAGAAAATAACTGGTTGAAGATAGTGTTGCAGATGACCACAAATAATAGGCAAACCATCAGTCCCAACTAATTTAATTAATTTGCATGTGACTAATAAACTGCATGCTTCCCAGTTTCAGGAAAACTGCAATCCCTGTATACTGCACACTTATTTGCTTGTTATTTAAGGACCTCCCAAAAGTGCAGTCTCCAGTGCCTGATTTAGTAGCTGATGGCACTGTAAAGAATGTAAGTTAGCAGCAGCCATTTTGATTAAATCATCCAGCCAAGCTGCAAGTGTGAGAACAAGCAGTGCTCCCCACTTCACAGAGTCTGCCTGTAATAATAAATGAAAGCATATATACTGAGAAAGCAGTATATTTAGTGTCTTATATTGAGGGTCATACAGCTTGTCTGGACTTCTGCCCTTTCAGATTTTGCTATTGTGTCATCTGTACATATTTAATAATTTCATTGCCTACTGGCAATGACTTTTTGTCAAGGTCATTTTTCTTGTGCAGTTAAAAGAATAGGTTTGAATTTCACTGCAGATCTCCCTGGGCTTGCAAGATCATTGTTTATGGAACTCCTCTGTGTCTTGCACTGTCTTTGAAGCTCTTGAGAATTTTAACTAATGACATCCTCTGCTGAAGAGTAAAAATGGGTTTCAAAATGTAAATTATGTTTAAAACTAGTTTTAAGTAACATAGAAAGTATTTTTTTAAATGAAGGTAAAATGTATATGGGTAAAGAGCATACAGGCAGGTGTGTGATTTTTCTGTATGTGTGTGTTTGTGTACACGTGTGGGCGAGTAGACTACCTACTTTCGTCATTTTCGGCAAGGTGAAATTTCAGTAACTTGTTCCAACACTGCGGTAAAATATTTTTTCTGCTGTGGAATAGTAGGTCTCTTGGATTCTCTCCAGTATTTTAATGTGTAATTGATAACTTAATATCTCACCAGGTATATTTTTGGCAGAACATCTCATTCAGCATCAAGATTTGAGTTTTGTCCACATACTGGTTTTTTTCCAGAGCATGTCTTGCAATTTCCTTTTCTCAGTGATGCAGATGTGAGGCTCCATTTATATACCTTTTTGCTTTCTAAACTAAAGATGGGAGATAGTGTATACAGCATGCATGATCTGGAGAAAAATGTCTCCTGCTACTGCATTCATTTCTTTGATTTAGCATAAGCCAGATTTCCCCTTGTCCAGTACTGAACACGCAGAACAGTTTGTATCTTAATAAAAATTGGAGGTTTTACTTAGCGGCTATATCTTATTAATATAAAATATTAATATTTGCCTCTAGAAAATGTTATGTTGCTAGTGACAATACAAGAAAATAAGGCTAACATAATATGAATATTCTTTTTTTTTTACCACTGCTACCTGAAAAATATCATGTCAAGGGATTTGCAGATAGGACAGTGCATTATTTTCTTGGGACCTCCAGTTTGCTTTGTGACCTTGCACGATCCACTTAACTTCTCTGATTCAGTTTTCTCTTTTTTAAGATTGGGAATGTACTTTCATTTTCAAAGGTAATATGAGAGAGAATTCATGTTTGCAAAGTGTTTTGAGATCTTTTGATTAATACTGCAAAATAAATACAAAGTGTTCCTAATATCAACAGTGTTCTTCCCAGTTCCTATTTTCTTTTTAGGAACTGTAACATTTGTACTGTGTCTAATAGCTGAAACTGTAAGAAGTTAAATTACTATAGGGACTGTGTTTTCAACGTTTATTTCACTCTTCCTTTGTGCCACTAGTTGAAGGAAAGGCAGTCCTTTCCTTTCCCTTAGTGTAAGTACCTCTCAGCTAATACTGCATTTTTCATTAACCAAAGGCTATGGGTATGGGAGATGGCGATAGGTAAAGCATATAGCACCCACACTGTGTGAGGTACTAGCTAAGTTCCTGGCCTCAGATTGAGATACCATTAATGCCAACCTGTTCTAGACAAGTCCCCTGAATTCATGAGATTGTCTATGGGGCTGCTGACAAAAGCCTGAAAATTCAAAACCTAAAGTCTCAAACACAAACAAGGTAAATACAAACCACCTGCAATTTATTGTTTGTAAATTTTTAATAATTGTAAAGCCAAAATGTTACTTTAATAAATGAAATTCTCATGCTATTGGGAGGTAAGGTTTCAAGAAAAAGGCAATAGTCACATGGCACAGCAGTATAGAACCACTGTACCCTCCTGGATCATATCACCTCCTGGGGTCTTTACTGCAGGGGTAGACAAAATACAACCCATGGGTCAGGTTCGGCCTGCCAAGAGATTCTGTCGGGCTCTTGGTGGGTCCATTGGTCCCCCCTGGCCCAGACTTGTGGGAGCAGCCGGGGACGTGGCACTTGCGGCTGGTTGTGCTGCCCCCAGGTGCACAGCAGGGCAGGGCCAGCACAGCAGCTAGACTCAGCTTCCTGGCAGCCACTGCCACTGCCTTTGTCACCACCACTGCTGGACCCAGCCCTGCTGCCTGGGCAACCCAGTCCCTCTGCCTGCCACCACCACCAGGAGCACCAGACAGAATTGGGGGGGGGGTCTCCATGGAGACTGGCCTGGGACCCTTGTGAGCACGACATGCTTGGCCAGGTAGATGGGATGGGGCTGCCGGGCAGGCGGGGAGTGGCATCTGGGAGTGGGATGGACTAGCTGGGGCTGGGATTGTGGGGCAGATCCACAATCCACTCCCCACACATCTCTGCCCATGGAACCAGTGTTCATTGCAGGGATGTGCGGGGAGTGGATCATGGCTCTGCCCCAGGCCCTGTCCCCACACTGTCACCCTCCTGCTCACCCATCCTACTCCCAGACACTGGTCCCCACCCTCCTGTGGCCCCATCCCATCCATCTGTTCAAGTGCACCCTAACCACAGGGGTCCTGGCCACTGTCCATGGAGACCCTGCCCTCCCACTTTGTCCAGCTCCCTGGTGGTAAGAGTGGGGCAGATGGGCCTTGGGCCAGATAGGATTATTTGCCCATCACCCTGCCCCTCCCCAGGCTCCAGGCTGGGACAGCACCCCACCCCTCCACATCAGGCCAAGTCAGATTTCCCCCTCTTCCCTACAGCACCAGGCCGAGTCAGCACCCTCCCCACCCAGCCCATACAACACCTTACGTGGCCCTCCAGCCCAAATAATTGCCCACCCCTATCTTACTGGATCACTGCAGTTCTGTACTGCTTACTACTGCCAGAGGGTTTGTTACAATGGAGCAATTGCCCCAAGAACTTGTAAAGCACCTCCAGGTCAGGCTCTTCTGAATGAAATATGCTGTATACATACAATGGATGTATAATGTCTTTACCTTCCAATAGTGCTTAGCCTATGTTTTTTATTTCCATTATCTTAATGGGTCCAACTGAAAAATATTATGTAAAGTGAGTTTAGCCTATTGAAAGAGCCCTTTGTGTTCAAGGAAGGCTTTTTTTCCCCCTTCCTTACCACCTCTACTGATCACTGCCGTATCAAGTCATACTACTGATCAGTTTTTGAAAATTCAGTCTAGAAATGCTATGAGTTGTTAGTTTTTTAATTATACCAGGTAAAAACAATAATCCAGTATCAGAGCTCAGATCATAAACTGGCTCCTACAAGCATCAGGAGGATTCCTTCCTGCTATAAAGCATCTGTAATATTAGGTGCATTATGGGAGCAGGGGAGAAGGGAGTTTAACCTTCCCTTTTGAAATGTCAGGTATTAGCCAATGCTAGAGTTTAGAGATTAGAACAGATGATGTAATCCAGTAAGTAAAATCCTGTTTTATGAAGTAGCTGCTGAAGTGTCTGCAAATGCCAGGAAAATAATTCCTCTCCCCATTCCTTATACAAAAAAAAACCCTATGCATTTTCTGACTGTGCTCTCCCTTGCTGATTCCCACTGAGTGTGAACTGACTACGAACACAAGTCACCAGCTTGTTTAGAGCCACCCCTTGGCTGACATAATTGAAAAGGAAGGCTGCAGCCTTCCTTCTCACCCTTACCCCCTCAAGTCATTATCATTACCATTTTCACTACTTTCTTGTCTGTCACATGGGCTTCACTTAGCAAGTTCCTTTCCCTGCCTCCTGTGCAAATTGTTTTAACTTTCACATGCCCAAGAAAAGTTGAATGGAAACTGTGCATGATGAAAAGGAGGTGGCAGTTACAGTTAGTTGTCTACTTGCTTAGTTGCCATGTGCTGTTTCATTCTCGGTAGAGGGAGTTCTCACAGCTCTCTTGCAGTGATGCTTAATGGTTCCTGCAAACGTACCATTCCCAAAACACCCAGCTTTCAGGATTCTCTGAATGGGTCTCTGCACTAATGCTAACACTGATTTTCAATGGTTTACTTTCCACAAGCAAGAGCATTTTCATTAGAGATGAGTTTCAGAATCCAGTTTCCGTATGAGGGGAAGGAAGATTTCTGATCTTATAATGCCCCCAGATGAAACTTTTAGGCTGATCACTTTTGAGAAAAAGAGAAATGTTCGTTTACAAATTTTAGCCAGTTTCACATTTATTTTTCTTTCTTTTTGTTGTTTTTACTCAGTCTGCTGTTTAATCTTTGATTACAGGCCACTAAAGAAGTAATAGAGCGAGAGGCCCCAGGGATGGCCCTGGCAATGCTGATGGGATCACTTAATGTTACTCCTCTGGGCATGCTCTCTAGGTAAGAATGTTACCAACAAAGTAAGAAGAGAACTATTTGACTTGAAGTATTCAAGCTGGTGGAATGGCTGCATAGTAAAGAACTGATGCTTGTCACTTTTCTCTAGAATTGGTAGGGGTCTTGCCTCAGTGAGATGGTCACAGTCCAACTCTAGCAATTGCATTCTGCATTGTTAAATACCCCTCACAGTTTCCACTGGATACTGTATTCTTCTGTACCTTCCATGCCAAATTGTTTATAGTTTGATTGTATTCTGTTAAACAGCTGTCTGATTCCACCTGTGTGCAGTTGCATTTGAGTTCCTTTTATGTAGCTTGAAAAGTGCTGAAGTTTCCTTTGGGATAAAAAAAATTCTGGCTAAGTGGAAGTGCAGTATTTTGATGATGCAAAACTCTAGAACTCTTGGTTTGGATATGATACCTTTTATTAGACCAACTAAGAAATCACAATTATGTAACTTTTAACATTAGCAAAGAACATCCATGAGAAAACATTGAAAGTGAAAAGTGAGATCACATTTCTGTGGATTTTTATACTTTAACTCTTAATTTTTGTTATTTACTGTCTAGTGACAGACAATATTTTCATTCTTTTGGTGTTTTCTTCAGTCAGTGTCTTCTCCAGTCATTCTGTGCTTCATTTAGGATAGACATATCAATATGGTTTATTCTAGTTATGCACTTGAGGTCCTTAGTATCATGGCTGAATCTATCCACTGTCAGAGACATTTAAGTAGAATAGATATATTTGGGTTAATTAAGTTATGCTTGCTGTTTATCTGCCATTTTAAAAAGCAAAGCAAAAATATTGGGGGTCAGCTGAAAAACAGTGGCTTCTGTATCTTTATTCTCAGTGACAGTGATGGATCTAATAATAAAATAATAATAATACTGGAGGGATTTTGATAATACAAGATAATTCTTACTTAAAAGCTTCCACTCTTTTAAAGAAGATTAGACTGAGGGTCATAGTAATTTGACAGTTTCTGTTTGAAAACTTAGTACCATAGTGTGCAAGTGTAAGTGCAACATTCTCCTCGTTAACGTCTTTCAGCTAACACTTGAAAATGCCAAGTGTTTTTATTTCCATATCTGATGTGCCATTACCCATATATCATAGTATGTATTTATAGGGCCCCAGGGGAGAGAATTCTCCATTATCAGTCACACACGAAATACAGGGGATCAAGGGAATTCTCTAGCTTGGTGGTTGTCAACCGGGGGTAGGCGTACCCCTAGGGGTACTTAAAATGGTCATATGGCATATGGGGGGGCTTCCGCCACTGCATGCATCCCAGCAGAGGCCTGGGGGGCACATGCCTCCCTGATCTGTGTGTGGGGCAGAGGCAGATGCTGTTGCATGCTGGGCTTTGTGCGCCGCTGCTGTTGCCCCAGGAACAGTGTGACTCCACATGCCACCACCAGGCTGCGCTGTGCCCTCTGCCTGCCTGGGAGTGGGATGCACATAGTGTCACACTCTTCCCAAGGCAGCTGCACCAGTGCACAAAGCCCAGCGCGTAGTGACAGGCGCCTCTGCCCCGTGCCCCGATGCTGGCGCCGCGCAGCTGCTCGGGGGGGGGGGGGGGGTGCACATGCCCCCCAGACCTCTGCCGGGGTTCACACAGTGGCAGGAGTCCCCCCTGTGCTCTTGGACGAGCCGCCTAGGATCTGACTGTCCCATGACCTGGCCTGGCCAGAGCCCCATTCACCCCAGGCCCTGTCCCTGTCTGTGCCCCACTCCCTCCCTCACTGCGGGGGCCTCAATCTGTGCCCTCTCACGGCCCTTTCCCCTCTCCTGCAGACTTACCTGCTGGGGGGGGCGCGTGCACTCAACCCCCCCCAATAATTTTAATATAAAAGGGTACGTGAGCTGAAACTTTGAGATAGAAGGAGTACACTTGTTCAAAAGTTTGAAAACCCCTGCTCTAGCTCCCCTGTGTCAGCTGATTACAGTGGGGATTAGGATTGACTTTGTACAGCCAGCCTTGTTTTGGTGAGTCACACAGCTCATGTGGCTGAAACCAGGCATGTGATGGTGAATGTTCAGTAGAACAATGGAGCACACCTGTCTTCTGAATCCATAGGCAAAATTGTCTAAAGAGTTATCGTATTTAATTTTTCAAAACAGATGACGGTTCTCTCTTCTGTTCCTGTCAGTCCCTCACCCAATTCAAGTCCTAATTAGAGAGATTAGTAAACAGGAGGAAAAGTAGCTGAGACATTTGATCTTTCAAGCCTTTCACATAATTTTGAGAAACAAGACGGACTTCTTATAAAACCTTTTAAAATGAAATCTTTTACAAAACATGAAGTCCATAGCAGTGGTAACTTTTTTTATTTCTGTTTCCTGTTAATGCTGTCTTGGTTTTTAATACATCTTGCAGGCTCAGATGCCCCTGATCAGCTAAAAAACAGCTATGCTGCTCTGGGGATATCAAGTGGCTTTCCACAGCTCTTCTGGTTCACAGATGTAGGAGAATCTTAATTACACTATCAATTTCCATTATTTCAGAAAGTTACATTGATGAATCATTTTCTTATATGCTCCAACATTATGATAGGGTATGTTATGTTTAAGGTACTGTCTTTTGAACAAGACAAGAAGTGAAGGTCATGATCCTTTATACCATTAAAGAATTGCAATTCTTTAATGCAGCTTTTCTGTATAATTATAAGTTTTGAGCCCTCAACTGGTTATAACTGAAAAGACAAAGAGTTACTTCATTTGGAACATGGAGTTTAACATGTTGATTTCCTGACTTAATATGGTGGCTTTAGTAACCATAACATGGAATGGAGATACAATAAATCAAACCTGTAAGGGAAGATTGTGCTTTATATGATTATCTTGTGCTATCCATGATCGCAAGCAATATGGTGCATTTCAGTCAGCAAGACTGTTATGTGATTTCTATCCTAACTTCTATGGATCATCTCAGCTGAAGGCCCCCCCATCCAGCTTCATGTATTATTCTTGATGATTTCTGTTATAGTCAACACTGATCATAATTGATTTTTTTGGATTTCCATTTTGTAAAAGTTCTTCAACACCTTAGAGGTATCTTCTAAAAGCCAGCTGGTGTGCCTGGTATGACACTTCAGAATCTACAGTTATGATTTATTCTTCCTTGTTTCCATTAAGGAAGTTTACTGTGGATTCTGTGACACCTTGTTTAAAGCTGTGCATGTGTCCATCCTAAACAAATTACATCCAGTGTATGTGGGTCATCCAATAGGGGCCAAAAAATCTGCCTGTTGCACCTGCTCAGAAGAAGTAACATCCAATCTAGACTTTACAAGAAGAAACTAGAAAATCTGGAATGTTATTTGTTGGTTTGTTAATTACCCAGAGAACTCTAATTCAGAGTCAGTTTGCAGTCATGCAAGCCAGGTTACAACTCATCTACTTAAAGTCAGAAAGGCTGTCTTGAGCAAGATGCTCAGTCAATGGCAACAGTTCTTTTAAAAAGAGTCTACCAAAAGTGTCTAGAAGCCATTGTGATTATTGTGGAATTTGGTGACCTGATGGATCTGAAAATTGGTACCACCCTAAGGAATGACAGCATTTCTTATGAATTCTTGAAGCATCTTTATTATTGTACTCTCTGCAAGAATCCTTTCAAGGAAAACTTCCTAAGTCACAGCAAAATTGAAAATCATTGTCCGGATAAGAGGCAAAGATCCATGTTCTACAGTGTGATAACACTTTACATTGCTGCTCAGTGTTTGCTGCAAGGTACTAGCAAGATCCTTTGGAAGATCAAACATTCCAAGAGGTGACAACCTTTTAACTATAGAGTTAGCTAGTCTTCATTGTTGTGATAGCACATATGATCAAGTTTTTACATTGACAACTGACATAGAAAGTATCAGAAAAAGTTGAAGATTGCCAGTTCCTTCCTCTATTTGACTTCTACCACCAACATAATATAGCATAGTGGACAGCTAATTAAACTTTCTAAATACTCCTTAGTTAGTTTGGAACTTCTTTTGCACAAATGCCATTTCACAGTCCTCATGAGTGAAACAACCATTTACTGGAAAAGCCAACTTGAATGGTCTTCCTCAAGGTTCTTTACCAGCTCGAACTCTTTTATTTCAATTTATAAATAATGATTTGTGTGAAACTATCCCATAAACTCATCTGCACTGATGATATCTTCTTTGGCACACAATCTCAGGTGTTTATTGATTTTGAAGATACCTCAAATCCTGATTGGTTTACAACTACTGCCATAACTGGTGCTTGCAGTTGAATACTCCAGAATCATCATGGTACATTTTCCCCGCCCGGTAAAGCCTTTGCAACATGGGAGTTGAGTGCATGTCTTAACAAGCACCCAGTAAAAAATAAACTATATCTGATCTGTTCCAGTGTTACTCTTGACAGGTGTCTGACTTACTGCAACCCTCTGATTTAAACAAAGAAGAAGAAGCCTGTTTTGAAGAGAATGGAGGTGTGATAAATGTCAGGCTTGGACCCATTTTCCCTTAAGGTTGAAAGAAAGTGGGTCCACCTGCAGATCCAACACTCATATTTCTAGGACAACGGTCCTCGGCATCTGCCACTCCACAGCAAAATACTGTGCTTTGAACCTGGGCCCATATGTCCCATACTATATTGCTTTATATACAACTCCATGTAGCCATGCTCCTTATGCCAGGGATTCTACAACCCACATCTCGGCTGAAAGTTCTGAGTAGCGTTGTTTTGCCACATGTTCCTTACGCAGATGCTTCAGCCAAAATGGTAACAAGGATTGAAATTCCACCTGACCTCCCACTGTAACCTTAATCTCTTTAACCCTTCTGTAGATGGCCTCAATTTGCGACATTCCTAGTGTTATAATAGTCTTATAGTATTGGTGTAACTGTGATGATCTAGCGAATACATGTGAAGTGAGATTTGTTTGGCAGAAAGAATGAGGCCTTGTTCAATGGTAACTAACAACCTTCCTATTAGATTTTGACCTATTTGGCAATCAGGTTTTAATATACTGT